ACAGCCCTGGATCGGGATGGGGACAGCCCTGGATCGGGATGGGGACAGCCCTGGGCCACTCTGAGATGGATTTGGGGACATCAGAGGGGATGGCAGCACCCAGGCCAGCCCTGGGCCAGCAGAGGCTCAGTCACCTCTCCCCGTGCGCCCGATTGGCCCCAATTTTGGGCACCTTTGGGTGCTGCCGGGCTGTGTGAGCCCATCCCCACCCGTTSTGTGTCTCCTGAAGTGAAGCAGCTGAAGCAGCCCCAGCCCGGSCAGGGCTCCCCGCAGGAGCAGGAGCTGGAGGTGACCCCRGMRTGTGAGGATGRTGAGGATGGTGAGGAGGAAGAGCCCGTGGTCCRGGCGGCTCCTGGCACAGGTTGGCACCTTTGGTCGATGTCCCAGTGATGGGGAGAGGGGAGCCAGGCGAGGACAGAGGGCACGGGGTCAGGAGGACAAAAAGGGGCTCTTTCAAACCAGGTCTGCTGAATTTTGCAGTTATTTCGCTTTTCTCTCCGTTCCTGCTGCTCCCTTGACATTTCAGCTTCATTGCACGGAGGGAACCACAGCAGAGGCAGCTCTTCCACAGCTCCTTTGCCTCTGACTGGTTTCATTTATAGTTTTTAACTCCTCACGTGTTTTTTTCTGGGGTTTAGGGTGGGTTTTTCCCGCTTTAGCTGTGCCTGACCCCACACTGAGGGAAGGCTGGCTGCAATGGAACGGCTTCAGTGTCTTTCAGGATAAACACAGCCAATTCCTTGCTGGAAGGGCAGCTGGAGGGACATCCTGGCTGGCTCCTGGTGTGCCACGAGGGCTGGGCTCCCTCCCTGGGCACGCTGCTCTGCCGGCAGCTCGGCCACCTCAGGTGGGCACAGCACAGGCAGCTCTGGTGCTTTCCTGGGCAGGTTGGGCTTGGCAAAAGCAGCTGCTTTGGGGTTTGTAGGGGCAGCAGGGCCAGGTCACCCCATCCCCGCGGGAATCCAGGGCTTGGGACCTGCAGGAGCAGCTCCTTCCAGCCTCAAAGGTCATTCCCAGCTGTCAGAACTGGGGTTGGGATGCTCCCATGGCATTCCTGACCCCCTTCCCAGMCATTTCCCGTTGCTCCCGCAGAATGACCCAGCAGAAAGGGGTGAACCTGAGCGATGTGCGGGTGAGCCAAGGGCAGCGGTTCCTGCAGGTGAGAGCCCGCCCGGGACACAGCCTGGAGGAGAGGTGGCAGTTCAGGTAAGGGTGGCTCTGGGCCCAGGAGGGTTTGCTGGAGCCTTTTCTCAGGTTTAACCACAGAAATGTGCGGGTGCTGTGCAGCAAAACCCCTTTGGGAGCTGCTCCAGCCTCCCTGGAGCTCCCCAGGCTTTGGGGTGATGTTTATCCTGAGCAAAGCCTTGTTCCCACCCAGGAGCAGCTGCGAGTCCGGCCGGGTTGTGGCTCTGCAGTGCTCAGGTGAGGGATTCCCTGCCCTGTCATGTCCCCAGGATCTCCTGCTGTCCCGTTTGCCCTGCTGAGCCTGTCCCYGTTCCTCACAGAGTGCGGGCTGCAGGCGGGGGCCGTGCGGGTGGTGGGGGGCACAGACGTGTCCCCCGGCCGCTGGCCCTGGCAGGTCAGTGTGTGCCAGGGCTCCCAGCACCGCTGTGGGGGCTCCGTGCTGGCCCCCGAGTGGATCCTCACAGCAGCTCACTGCGTGCACAGGTACCTGAGCTTCCCGTGCCCCCAATCCCTGTGTCCCCATTCCTTGGGCTCCCTGTGCCCCCCATTCCCCGTGCCCCTCCATTCCCTGTGCCCCCATTCTCAATGCCCCCATTCTGTGGGTTCCCCATGTCCCCAATCC